GAGAGTATAGATATCATTCAAATTTGGGTCGAAATGTATTTTTATTTGATATCACAAAAGCGCTGACTATAAAACTAATCAGTCTTTTGGATCACAACCCGTATCTCGTATTGGATTCAATGCTTCAGATCTTTTTCAGTGTTAGGACATTGAATTTGTCGAGCGTTACCATCGATTACAAGACAATGGAAATGATTGTCAATCGTTTACCACAACTCCAGAGCTTACATTTGGCAGCGATTTGTATCGATAGACCGCAGGACAGGACAGTCATTAAATGGGCACAACTCTTAGCAAATATCACACAAATAAATCCCTATTGTTTTTACGATTTGAACCCAATATTCATTATGAATATCATCCGAGATCTGCCATCACTTCAAAGGCTAGAAGTGGATCGCATATCACTACTAACACCGCAACTCATGGCTAATTGTATGCCCTCTGGCATCCGATCCATGAAGACAAGCGCCCAATACGTTGACACAAATGTACTCCAAGTTATGGCCATACGATGTCCTCAATTGGAAGTGCTTTTTGTATGCGATTTGATTGTCCCGTTTGACCACTTTATCATAATTTGCAATCAATTCAAACGCCTTCAGAGACTTGATATTAAATTGTATGCGATTTCGGCCCAAGAGATGGCCCAAAACATCTCAAAGTTAACCGATTTAAAGCATTTGGCAATTAAATTCTCGTTTGAAGATCACTTTTGCTTTGACACCAATGTTATGATGTCTTATATGAAACCCATGACTAGTCTTCGGTCATTGAGTTTGGATGGCATCGAATGTTCGGCCAAACGGTGGACACAATTGCCACAAATGTTGCCAAATGTGACCAAAATATCTCTAATTGGCGTCAATTGTCACATAGACTGCAGTTCTTTCAACGATTACTTCTTCGTCAATGAATGTCCGCATAAATTGATTCAAAGGTTGTCATCAGTTCCTACATTAAAACATTTAACACTCGGTAGAATTACTCCACAGTTTCGGCTTAAGACACTTAATCTATTGGTTAGTTTGAATTCATTGGCGTTGTGTCCCTATTATTACCAAGAAATACATCCATTGATCGATGATTTGTTTCAATTCCTCACCAAAACACTCGCCAACAGAAAGAGATTGTTTCGCTTATATCTAAACTATAGTCTCCATACAAAACTGATCCACAAATTTGAGACAATGAATGTTGAAATACCAGACAATGTGATTGTCAATCAAACATCAGTTTTTGATTTTTAACACATTATTTATATGATTTATTTAATTGAAAAATTATTGATTTCATTAGTTTTACTAAATTTCTCATTTCAATGAATTTCTAAAAACACAATTCATTAAAATAAATTTTACCAATAGTTTTTTCCAGCAGTTATTTGACTAATAAAAACTAGTTATTAAACACAAATTTACTCTTAAAACCCCAGAATACAGACAGAATATAACTTTGCATTCAATTTTAGTAATAAATATACAGTAATTAAAAATTAGTGCTAAAATATAATGTCTAACAAAACTTTTATGTTTTCCTAAACAATACACAAAAATAATAAATATTTCGGACAAACAATTAAATATTTAAAATCAAATCTAACCGTCATTTCATAGTTTTAACAGTTTTTATAAAACAGTTATCGGAAAAGTTATCAAAGAACTTAAAGACAAGACATGAGTGGAAGCGATGGTCAGTCGAGTCGTGTCCTCAACGATGACGTCCTGTTCCTGATCTTCAGACACATAGATATCACTGATTTGTTTTCAATGCAAAGAGTGTCCCAACAGTTCCACGAATGGACACAAAAAGCATTATCGGCGAAAAAAGCACTTCACATCGGAGAGTATAGATATCATTCAAATTTGGGTCGAAATGTATTTTTATTTGATATCACAAAAGCGCTGACTATAAAACTAATCAGTATTTTGGATCACAACCCGTATCTTATATTGGATTCAATGCTTCACATCTTTCTTAGTGTTAAAACATTGTATTTGTCTTACGTTTCCCTCGACTACAAGACAATGAAATTAATTGTCAATCATTTACCACAACTCCAGAGCTTACATTTGGCAGCGATTTGTATCGTTAGACCGCAGGACAGGACAGTCACCGAATGGGCACAACTCTTGACAAATATCACACAAATAAACCTCTGTTTTATCGAATTAAACGTGACATTCATTATGAATATCATCCGAGATCTGCCATCACTTCAAAAGCTAGAAGTGAGTCGCATAGCACTACTCACACCGCAACTCATGGCTGATTGCATACCCTCTGGCATCCGATCCCTGAAGACAAGCGCCCAATACGTTGACACAAATGTGTATAATGTTATGGCCATAAGATGTGCTCAATTGGAAGCGCTTTCTCTAAGCGATTTTAATGTCACATTAGACCAGTTTATCATAATTTGCAATCAATTCAAACGACTTCAAAGACTTGCCATTAGTTTGGATGCAATTTCGGCCCAAGAGTTGGCCCAAAACATCTCAAAGTTAAAAGATTTAAAGCATTTGACACTTAAATTCTCGTATTACAATCAGTTTTGCTTTGACACCAATGTTATGATGTCTTATATGGAACCCATGACTAGTCTTCGGTCATTGAGTTTGGATGGCATCGAATGTTCGGCCAAACGGTGGACACAATTACCACAAATGTTGCCAAATGTGACCAAAATATCTCTAATTGACGTCAATTGTCACATAGACTGCAGTCGACTCAATGATTACTTCTTCGCCAATGAATGCCCGCATAAATTGGTCCAAAGGTTGTCATCAGTTTCTACATTAAGGCATTTAACACTCGGTAGAATTACTCCACACTTTCGGCTTAAGACACTTAATCTATTAGTTGGTTTGGATTCATTGGCGTTGTGTCCCTCTTATTACAAACAAATACATCAATTGATCGATGATTTGTTACAATTCCTCACCAAAACACTGGCCAACAGAAAGAGATTGTTTCGCTTATATCTAAACTATGAGATATATTCAAAACTGATCCACACATTTGAGACAATGAATGTTGAAATACCACACAATGTGCTCATCAATCAAACATCTGTTTTTAATTTTTAACACATTATTTCTATTATTTATTTAATCGACAAATTAATTGTTGATTTTATTATTTTTACTGAATTTCTCATTTCAATGAATTTATAAAAACTCAATCAATTAAAATAAATTTATCAATAGTTTTTTCTAAAAGATATTTAGTTAATAAAAACTAGTAATTAAACACAAATTTACATTTAAAACCCCAGAATAGACAGAATATAACTTTGCATTCAATTTTAGTCATAAATATATAGTAATTAAAAATTAGTGTTAAAATATTATGTCTAACAAAACTTTTATGTTTTCCCAAACAATACACTCAAAAATAATAAACATTTCGGACAAACAATCAAATATTTGAAACCAAATCTAACCGTCATTTCATAGTTTCAACACTTTTTACAAAACAAACATTTCTTCGAAAAAGTAATCAAATAATAGACACAACTGTTGAAGAACTCAAAGACAAGACATGAGTGAGATTTAAAGCATTTGAAGCTCGAGTTCTCGTATGAAAATTATTTTTGTTTTGACACCAATGTTATGATGTCTTATATGAAACCCATGACTAGTCTTCGCTCATTGAGTTTGGATCACATCAAATGTTCCGCTAAACGATGGACACAATTACCACAAATGTTGCCAAATGTGAGCAAAATAACAATCGGTTCAATAAGTTGTCACATAGACTGCAGTCGACTCAATGACTACTTCTTCGCCAATGAATGTCCGCATAAAGTGATGCAATGGTTGTCAAGAGTACCCAAATTGAGACATTTGACACTTGGAGTCGATTCACCAATTTTCCGATTCAAGACATTTAATCTATTCATTGGTTTGGATTCATTGGCTTTCTATGCCTATTGTTATACATTAAAAGAAAGTCATCAATTGATGGATGATTTGTTTCAATTGCTCACCAAAACAGTGGCCAACAAGAAGACAGTCTTCACATTATATTTAAGATATGCAACCTATGAAAAACTGGTCCTCAAATTTGCGACAATGAATGTTGAAATGCCAGACAATGTGATCGTTACACCTTCTCAGTACATATTTTAGCACATATTTCCATACCTTATATCCCAAGTGAACAATTAATTTGTAATTAAATTAGTTTTAATTAATTGTTTGGATCAATGAATTTTTAAAAATATATTTCAACAAAATTTATTATCAATAACTAAACTAGGTACTTAATATATATGAACTATATTTTATTGATAAACATTTTATTACATTTTATAATTAAATATAATTTTCAATTCATTTACAATTCACTAAATAAAAATATTGTGTTTAATTGAATACAATTGCATTTAATCATTCAATTCAAAAATTGTTATACTGTATAACTTATACATGTCTAACAAAATTTTTATATTTTCCCAAACAATACACTCAAAAATAATAAATATTTCGGACAAACAATCAAATATATTAAACTAAATCTAACCGTCATTTCATAGTTTCAACAGTTTTTTTAATAAAATAAACACTTCTTCCGAAAAGCAATCAAATAATAGACACAACTGTTGAAGAAATCAAAGACAAGATATGAGTGGAAGCGATGGTCAGTCGAGTCGTGTCCTCAACGATGACGTCCTGTTCCTGATCTTCAGACACATAGATATCACTGATTTGTTTTCAATACAAAGAGTGTCCCAACAGTTTTACGAGTGGACACAAAAAGCATTGGCAGCGAAGACAGTCCTCAACATCGGACTCGATTCGAAAGAGTTATTTTCATTTAATATCACGAAAGCGTTGATCAGAGATCGCTGTCTTTTGAATTACAATCCGTATCTCGTATTGGATTCAATGCTTCACATCTTCATCAGTGTTAAAACATTGTATTTGTCGAGACTTACCATCGATTACGAGACAATGGAAGTGATTGTCAACCGTTTACCACAACTAAAGATCTTATACTTGTCATGGATTTCTATCAATAGACCGCAGGATAAGACAGTCACCGAATGGACACAACTTTTATCAAAAGTCACACAAATAGAGATCCATTATTTTTCAGAGCTATTAGTGATGAATTGCATCCGAGATCTGCCATCACTTCAAAGTTTAGAAGTGAATCACATGAGACCACTGACACCGCAACTCATGGCTGATTGCATACCCTCTGGCATCAGAACCCTGAAGACAAACGCTCAATACGTTGACACAAATGTACTCAATATTATGGCCATAAGATGTGTTCAATTGGAAGCGCTTTCTCTATGCGATTTTAATGTCACATTAGAACAGTTTAGCATAATTTGCAATCAATTCAAAAGAATTAAAAGACTTGACATTAAATTGGATGGCATTTCGACCCAAGAGTTGGCCCAAAACATCTCAAAGTTAAAAGATTTAAAGCATTTGAAGCTCGAGTTCTCGTATTACAACAAGTTTTGCTTTGACACCAATGTTATGATGTCTTATATGAAACCCATTACTAGTCTTCGCTCATTGAGTTTGGATTCAATTAAATGTTCGGCCAAACGGTTGACACAATTGCCACAAATGTTGCCAAATGTGACCAAAATATCTATCGGTGATCTCAATTGTCACATAGACTGCAGTCGACTCAATGACTACTTCTTCGCCAATGAATGTCTGCATAAAGTGATGCAATGGTTGTCAAGAGTACCCAAATTGAGACATTTGACACTCGATAGATTTGCGCCATTCCTTAGACTTAAGACATTTAATTTATTCGTTGGTTTGGATTCATTGACTTTCTATATTTATAACGATTATTATACGTCAAAACAAATTAATCAATTGGTCGATGATTTGTTTCAATTCACCAAAACAGTGGCCAACAGAAAGACATTCTTCAGATTATATTTAAATTATGAAACCTATGAACAACTGGAGTTGAAATTTTTATCAATCAATGTTAAAATTCCAGACAATGTGATGATCGCTAAACCTGTTCCCTATTATTAGCGCACATTTCCATACTTTATATCCCAAGTGAACAATCAATTTGTAATTAAATTGGTTTTAATTAATTTCTTCGTTCAATGAATTTTTATCAATGAAAATATAAATCTCAACAAAAGTTATTAAAATTTATTTATTGTATTGAAACCAGTAATTGACTTAAATATTGCCTTTCAATTCACTCATTATTTAAATACAGTGTAAATGACATTATCAACAAAAATATCAATAAAAACAAACAGTAATTTGAATTAAGTTTAATTTAATTGCAATTAAAATATTTTTATGAACAAAAAAGTTGTAAAAACTTTTAAATCAAAAACTTTAAATCAAAAGTGAGTGAAAAGCGGACGTAATGTATGAATGAATGCCGGAATCAAAATCAAACAACTCATTGACTGTTTTGCTGAAGACTTGATTCCAACAGTGATGGACACGATGTCGACCACAACTGCGGACACAAATCCGTTGTCCAATAAAATCAATAAAATACTGAATAAACCGATGGATCGGGTATTGAATGAATGGGTCATTGATTTGAATTACTTTTCATACAAAATATTTGTATTTTAGGAGACGTTGGAAGCGCTGACGTGTGTCTCATCGGTGGTAAAGGATAATAACCTCCACAGCCGTCGCAATCTTCGCACAGACATCGAGAGACAAAGTCTGACCATTAATGAAGAGTTTGTCAAATG